GCTGATGTGAGGAAATGCACTTCAGGAAACTTTCATATTTTCTTTCTCTGTTCTTCCTGACCCAGAACACCAGAGTTTTGAGAACCAGTGTCCTTGATCCTTACCTGGAAATGCCCAGATAAAGGAATACTAACTAACATCCAGCTTGAAGTGTCAACAGTCTGTGGCCTTCTTCTTATAGACGTAGGGGTGGAGGGGCTGTGTGGCTACGGCATTGGTTCAGCCTCTTCCTCCATATTCAATCTTCCCATAAACATGGCCTCCACGAATCTCAGCCTACAGAAGCCTACAGCATATTCTGACACCCCATCCTCAGCAGTTGGGTGGTAGAGGTGTGGGGGAGAATGTGGGTCCTCTCATGCCTGTGAATAGTAAAGGCTGAGGATGTGAGATCCCCCAAGACACAAATAAACCAACCGCTGATGAGAATTCCTTACCCAAAACAAACACCTAGATCACCTAGATCACCCTGAGGTCAACATTTTTCTACCCAGATTTCTATACAAATATTCAATCAAGCCTATTCTAAAATAGTAGCCACTAGGGATGTAATAGCTGTTGATTTGGGTGAGTCGTAATAGGCACACACACATACACACATCTGGTAATTAACCATCCTACCCACAGTCTGCTGTCATGTCAAGACCCCAGACAGAGGCTGTGAACTTAGGCTGCCAACTTAAACAACTTGTGAAAGGAGGATTCCGTCCCTTAGACACCATTCCACATTTCTTGTGCATTTCCTTTTCACTAGTCAACGAAATCGACAAATAACTAGCCTTTGAAGGAACCGCCAAGAACTAGGTCCAGCAGGAGTGGTGAAGTAGCCACGCGCCCTTCCCTGCGGGGCCCTCCCTGCGGGGTCGTCCCTATGGCTCCTTCCCTATGGCACCTGTTTTGCTGGTAGAGGCCATTGTTAGCATTGTTGGGCGAATTCAGCTCATTCCTAAAGTCTCACAAGTAATATTCCAAAGCATTGTTATTTCTATCCTGCAAGCTACATACCAGTTATTAAAAATGCTCTACAGCCAAGATTAAAAAATAAACAGGGCAATTAAGCAGATCGGGACTTGGGTTTTCTTTCTCTCCATGGAAGCCAAGATCAAATCACACCACAGTGGTGCTACTATGGAAAGAATTGAATCTTGAGTCTCTTTTGTGAGAAAGTGTGTTTCCTCAAAGTAAAAAGTTTCCTTATGATATAGGAAATATAGCTCATTTTTTTGTATTTTAAAAAAAGAAATAAAATTAAAATACTCATAGAATTAATTATAGCAGTTTTAATTATCCTCCTACATATCTTTCTCTTATGATATAATCGTGGAAATACTCCCATCATCCAGCAGTTCATGCTCATGAGAAGAATCAATGCTTTACTCGATATTCAGAAGAGTAATCAATGTAAGAGAGTCCACTGCAGTCACCCACCTGAAGTGGCATGGCTGGCCCTTCAGTGCACGGCATGGGCTGCCTCCCAGAAGCTCCCCTCAGCCCCTCTGACCCACTCACACTGGTCCTAACACCAGCTTCAACCTGATCATTTTGGTGACTCCCTGATAATGCTGCAGCCACTTTAGGAGCCTAAGGTCATCAAGGTCATCACTGGGAGTGGTGCCACCATACTATTGTTCTGCAGAAGGATCCAATAATGAGAAAGTTAGGGGTATTTAGAAAGAGCTATAAACTAGCTTTTACTATACTGTTTTCAGTGGAATAAAAGGGTAAATTTTGTGTAAAACCAGACTTAAAACTCTTTCCTGTTTCATCATTTTCATATTAAAAGAGTCAAGGCTTGTATGCATGAAAATTAATAATTAAATGATTCAAATCTCTTTCCATCACCTTATCAAAATCCCAATTTCATAGGCTGGAGAGACTAGCTCTAAAACGATCCATTTTATAGATGGTTCTTGGTAAGACAAAAGGCAAACGCTTCCCACAGAATCACATTCTAGGGCAGGTCAGGACCTGAATTCTGTTCAGATTTCCAACCTGTAAATCAGCAGTATTCGCATACAAATTCAATGATTCTACTACTAATAAAACGTAAAGTCCACTTGGAACCAGTAAAACCAGAATGCTGTAAGGAACAAACACAGTCCTAGAAGGGAAGATTATTTCATTTTTTTAATGTTAAATTTTATATATTTAAGGAACCTGGGAGATATTAACTAAGTGATATGTGCCAGACACACACACACACAAATCCATGAGCTCACTTATGTATGAATCTTTAAAAGACTATTTCATTTCTCAGAGCATGTGGCATTCTTTTTCCCTTGTCCAGTAACATTTGTGTCAGTCACAAAGCCTGGGGTGGTATTGTCCACCCCATCCAGACTGACAAATAAGTGCGCAGGTTGCAATTTCAAACCCCCGAGTTTGAGGGCAGGTTAGCAGGGAGGGACTTGTGGTAATCACAGGATCCTAAATGTAAACTCTTCCCTCAGTAATTGCTTTACTCTAAACATACATGCAGCCTTTAGCCTCCTACTATTCTGCTGTTAAACATCTTTAAGAAAGGCAAGGCTTATTGCAGAAAAAATATTTGCAGCAGTGAGTGCTTCAAGTTCAACGTCCTCCCTCCACCTCCAGTGTTTTGTTCAGACCTACTCAAGCTGTTTCCAGATAATATACACATTGCTTCCCCACCCCCATCTTCCAAGCCCAACATAGACTTAAAGACTGAGAGCACTTCCAGAATATTCTGCAGAGAGTCCAAAGAGATTTCACAATATTTCTGCAAGGGTTGGTATGCTTTTTTTCTCCTACAAAATGCTGTGCAGAGCTAGGACATTAAAGGAAGCTAGCATTTAGCATGGAGGCGATCTCTTGCATTTTCAATACTTTCTTCCACTGTCTTTGCGGCTGCATTTAAAAACAGCTTTCTATAAATAGCACTGCTTGCTCACTCTTAAATCTTACTCACTGTCTTCTCAGTAAAAAAAATAACAACTAGGGATACGGGCAAGATTCATGAATCCCTGTCGTTCTATCGCTCTGTGCAGCAGCCTCTTTCCTTCTTCTTATCTTGGCATATATCTTCTCAATCCCATTTATCCCTCTCTGTTAAACCATAATATATATGTACATAATCCAGGGGCTTAAAGACCCAAACTTAATCCAGTTGGATGATTTTTAAAAATCAGTGTTTATCCCATAGAACAAACAGAGATCTCCAAAAATCCAAAGCTGATAAGTATCTTAAGCTATAAGACACTTAATTTGATTTTTATATTTGGACAAAAATCGACACTTTGACACTGATTAAAAGATATTCTCTCCTGTTACTTTGATGAAGATACCAACTGTCATATTTGGATCTGCAAAATAGGAAACGAAGATAATGACAAGAAACCCATAAATCCATGGGATATTTAAGAAAACAGTAGTGTATGACTTTTTAAAGATGATTAAGGCCTGAGAAGCTAAGCTTTGTTTTCATGTCCTGTGTGGCTCTTTGATGAAGAAACGAATTCCCAGGAGCTGATGAGGAAATCTAAATGTCAGTTTGATGTTGCTGGCTGGCTTTCAGAACGTGACAGGGCAATAAACATCATACAGGAATTGTAGATCATGCCACTTAGCAGCATACACTTGAGACCAAGGGGTCCAGCACACGAATGGAATTATTGTCTGTGACACTTGGCCCACGGCACAGCAGGAAGAGCACCTAAAGCAATTATATAGCTGTTGTGCACCAGTGATTAAGTCCAGCAGATTCTCCAAACACGAATCCCTTGCTGAAAAGAGAATGAAATGCCCCAAGCCACAGCATTTCTGGAAAATAAACATTTCTTCAGTGATTGAGTCTCTACATTAGAAAAAGGTGGATAGAGCAACAGAGCCCAATGGTTTAGCCATCAGAATTCAAGATGGGGGACAGAAGAGCAAGCCCAGCAAAGAAACCTAAGATGGGAAGCCAATCAGACAGAGGCAGAAGAGAGAGGTGGATGGGAGGGGAGAAAGGCTCTGCCTGTCACTTCATTCTTTCTCTCCACAGGGAACATCATCTCTTTCCACTACTCCATACCATGTGCTCTGCTCTGCGCAGGACACGCTCAGGCTTCACATGCATCTCAGACTGTGGAGGCTCCTCTCTATCTAGTGAGAGGGGCAGTCACTAGTCAAATCAGCACCACATAAACGCAGGGTTAATGATTACCATGGACACCATCAAGGCAACAGCCAAGATTTTAAGAAAAAAAGGATAATATGGAGGTATCTGATTTTCAGGAGCAGGTCTCTGAAACCCAGCCCTTCTGAACGTACTGGTCAGAAGCTGTCTGACCTCTGAACCAAAATCCTGTCCCTGCTTCCCTCCTGCCACCTTGACAGACCTTGCGTCACCTGAATTCCGTGTGTTCCACCCTCTGAATTCAGAACGGCACAGTGGATACTCCGTGGGGCCGCTGGAATCTTCCATTCCCACTGCCTTATCTTAACCCAGAGATTCCGCAAGGGAAATGCAACTTTGAATTTTCTTGCATTTTCACAACATTAAAGAATACATAACTATAGTTGGGGGGAGGTGCAGGGAGCTATAAGACGAGCATTTTTGCGCCCAGGTCTTTGGAACAGGAAGAGTTAACCCCCCAGTCCAGGGGAACAGGTGTTCTCCAAGGGGCCTGGGGGAGAGAGAAGGGGGCTCCCGGTCCCGGAGCCGTGCCTGCGGAGATTGATGGGCTGCGGAGGAGCGGGCACGTCAGCATCACCCCTGTCACCATCAGCAGGAGAAGCGGCGGCTCCTGGAATGACATTGGAAGGTCAGCCAATCAGGCGCGGAGCTGCTCCCGGAGCTGCCACCTCCGAGGCGCGCGCCACGCCGAGGCTCCCTTGCGGGTTTGGAAAGGGGGGTGCCAATGCGCCCTTCTACGGGCCCGCTGCCCCCTGCAACACCTCTGTTTCCTCTCTGGGCACCCTCTAGGTTTCTAGAGATTGCTGTGAATACAGTCCTCCGCTGTACAGTTGAAAACAAAGGCTGCCGGACCCCGCCTGACCTGCGGTCGCCTTTGCACGGTTCTCGAAAGACGAACTCCACGGCACGGGAGTTTGGGCGCAGTGAACTTGAGAGATCGTGGGGAGGCGTCTCTAGAAGAAAGCCCCTGGCCGTCTGCATGGAGCCGTCCTCCCTCGGCGGCGGCCGGGTTTGCTGGCTCTGCTGAAGGCTGGCTGCAAGAGTCTGGTGAGGTTTGCCGCCCACTAGTGTCCTATGGAGGGGACACAGCCCGCAGGCAGGTAGCACCACCTCCCTGTCTCCCAGGCTGCGGGTGCAGGCACCGAGGCCCAGCGTGCGCTTCAGCGCAGCAGCCGAGAAAATCCCCAGACACGCTTGTTTGTGTGGGCGCACCCTGGGGTGCCTGCCCTGCTCTGGCGAGGTGGGCCACGCATGGAAGCCAAGGAAATCCAAGTGCCCATTTCTGAAATACTACTGAATGCACTGCCTGGTGCAAAATGCATGCTTTTCCTCTACCTATTGATTATTTATGAGCCACGTTCACAATCTTATCCGTAGAATTGAGCTAATTTCAGGAAACCTGGATGCTACAGATTTTGTAAATGCACCCACTCGAGGCACCCGCCTTTTAATTTTGCAAACATAAATTTCCAATCTACAGTGTTCACAGATCTTTATAAAATGACCTCCTCTCTCTCTCTCTCTGTCAATCAAGTTTGAATACACATTGAATTGAGTCTTTTGTCAAACTACTTCTTGCACATTACCCCAGACACATCTAAGATAAAATACCTTGCCAGATACCTGGGGGTCCAGGAATTGGAGATTAAAATTGGCAACTTTTTTTAGTCAAAATTAGTTTCCCTACCAGAATGCTGTATTGCATGGGTTCTGCCCCTGTGACTCACTGATCCCCTGAGGCAACAAACCATGGTCATACCAAAGTGACAAAGGAGAGAGTCAAAAAGTGGAGAAGGATCCACTGGCATTTATCAAAGATCTGCGTGGCATTTTGTTTTGTATAGAGGGCATCTTGTAGGGCCATCAGTGAAGTTAAAAGGCCTAGGAATTTTAGGTGAACCCTGAGATTTTGGGTAGATTTTTTTTAGGCTGCTTAATAAAAATGGGGGAGAAAGGGAAGGGGAGGAAGCCCTGAAATTGTTCACCTGATGACATTTTTTTCCTTACATACATGTATGTGAATTAAATAAAAATCACCTTCAAAGTCCTTAAGGTGAATTTGTGTTTACAAAGGTCTGCTTCTAATGAGATAAAATAGCAAGTGTGTGCTCTGTAGTTTCCTATCAAGCGAATGGCTGAAGCTCAAAGGTGCTGCATACTCACCTTTCTCTAAAGAGCACCTTCTTACTCCCCTCACCCCACCCTCTCTAATCTCCAGGACAGTAGGGCCCCATGAAAGTGGATGCAGTAAAGCTCAAAATCTCACAGCTTGGGAAAAAATGATGTCAGGAATGCACGCGTGTGTGTTTGTGTGTGTGTGTGTAAAAAGAGATTCCAGGATACTAGCAAAAATGTTACATATGATAAATCTGCTTCTTCATCATTCTGCTTGTCTGAAGGCCCAGCTCTGCTTTTAGCAAGAATTCTAAACTAGAATGTGCTCACTGGGGTTAAAACCAGGAGAAATGGTGATGAAACACAATGCAGTAGGAAGCCTGTGCTGAGAAGACACTGAGGGACGTGTGTGGGTGAGTGTCTGCACATACGTGTACCTTGGCTTCTTGCACCGTAACAGAAGCTCGCATGTATTTCCAGAACATTGCAGAACAAACTGACTGCTTTAAAACACCATTACTGCACCTTATCAGGTGAGGTCATTCATTTAAGGGTTTAACCCATGAAGGGCTTGGTCACTGACTTCTATTTTTTTTTTTGACAAAAATACTGTCTGCACCCTGTCTAGCAACCGTACTTTTATTAAGAAATAAATATATTTCCCATACATCAACACGAAAAATGCTGTGGTCTACTATTAGAATGCAGATGTGTTGAGGGCTTATTTTTAACACCCCAAATACTAAACTGCACAATATTTTACAAATGAAAAAAAATGTTATCATGTCAGGCATTTTGATGCCTGAGGCCTAGCAATAATCAGTTTAGGTATTAGAATTCATTAATCTTTTATCACACACATTCAGAAATTTTTCAAAATTAAGGTATAACAAAATATGCCAGTCATTGATAAAAATCCCTCTACATTTTTTAAAGTGTATAATTCAAATAGGTAGAAACCATGTACTCTTATATTTTTGAAATATGGCCTTACAAACAGGCATAGTTCCAAACTGGACTCTTATTTTATTTCAACATGTTTATGTATTTTGTGATCCTTTCCCCAGTATGCAGTGAACACCATGCCTTAAAAAACTGTTTAAAGCTGATTTCCCCTCCCCGCTTCAAAGATCCTAAAGCTTTACAGTCAGCTTTCTATTTTTTCATGCTTGGTCATATAAAGAGAGCGGCATTTTTATACAAAATAGTTCCATAGCCTTCTGCTAGATTGGATCAGAATGTAAAGCATTCATTTGTGTTTGCTGTTTAAGTCTAATATTGTGGAATCTACCCATATTTATTACAGTAACAATATGGTGATTATCAGTTGATTTTAAGTCTTGAAAATAATACAGAACTCACTATATGTGTACATACATAATCTTTGCATATATTTTTCATATTGTAGAATATTTGAGGTTTTATATAATTGTATTACTATATACAATTATTTCGATGATTTTTTATTTTAGTTGTGAAATGCTGATTCAGAAAAAAAATCACACACATATATAGCATCCCTGTATCAGAGGCTAATACTCTACACCGGTATCATCAATTCTTCCACACCATTTTTGTCAAATTAAACTCTAAATACGTACTGACTGACTGACAACGAGCACAGTCTCTTCCGTCATCCTGAAACACATACTTCCCCATGACGTGGAAATTTTGTTTCATTTTATAACAGAGGCCTTTCCAGGGAGTTCAGAAATGTACTCCCTGACAGACGAAACAGGCTGCCAAGGCTTTGTGTCTTTGGAACACATCTGTAGGCATTTGTACATTTCTTAGGAGGTTGCATTAGCAGAAGAGCAGAAAGGCTGACTTCCCTGACATACCTCCACATGTTCCCTAAGCAGATCTGTCCCCGAAGGGAAATTCCCAGGAGGACACAGGACAGGTATAGTGCCCTCTGGGAAAGATGGGTGTTTTGTCAGAACTTGTTGCAATTCTTTCCAGCTAGGAAATCTCAAAATGAAAGTTTCAAACACTTTGCTTTAGGTTATATTGGCGAGCAAAGTATCATTTTCATGTTAATTTTTTCAACTCTACCTTTTCTTAGTCATCAGTTTTAAAAAATTTGACAGTGTTCATGCATTTCTTCTGGCCTGTTGGTATATTGATTCTTTAGGCACGGTCTATGTAGGCAAACACAATGCACAGAGCCAACACACAGGGCTTCCCTGTGTCTCCCAGGAAGATCTTAGAGCCTCCCCTTTGCTTCTCATATTTTCTCACAAGGGCCAGATTTCCTCTCTTCTCTTCTTTTACCTCCTTCTCTTCCTCTCTCCCTTCTCCCTCTCTCTCTCTCTCTCTCTCTCTCCCTCCCTCTCTCCCCCCCCCTCTGTCCCCTCTCTTCTGGGTAGGGGATTCTGCTTAATGGTTTAATTTTAACTGTCAGCAGGTTATACATTTTATGCAGATGTGTATTCCAAAATTTGAAATGGGAATTTAAACTGTAACTACTCACAGGCAATGTCAAATGATGACAATTTCCTCTGGTTCCCACAAGAGAGGAAGCCATTCATACATGTAAGTTCATATTTACGCGGTGACAGGCAGCCGAAGGTACAGTCACACTTACTAATTGGGTCTGACTGAGTCAAGAGCAATAGCTATCTAAATACCCAGGAAGAAAGCATTTCAAAATATAATATTGGCTGGGCATGAGGAAAGGAATGTTATTTACAATATTCACTGATTTCATTTTTACAACTATACAGGTGATTTTTAAAAATTTGTCAACATTTCAGATGATGTAATGCTTATCAGTGCATATTTTTACATAAACGACTGTGAGGAGCATGAAGCAGCACCGGGGTGCATAGAAGGACAGATCTTTCTTAAAGCCCTCCTTGGCGCTGGAGATACATTGTACAAGCATGAAATTACGTGTTTGAAAATCTCAAAAAGCATTGAATCTGCAGGCAAACGTTCTTCATTGACCCCCCACCTGCGTGCACTTGGAATGTCATATCCCTTTTCAGGTTGTAATACTCAAAGTGGCGATCTTCCTGTCTCTCCTCCTGTCACCAAACCTGGTTTATTCTGAATGAGGCAGCTCTCTAGTACTGGAGTTAGGCTCCGAGCTGTCACTTGGCTAGGTAAGCGCCTTCCAATGATTACAGAGCAATTTCTCCCCGGCCTCTCCATGGCCACCTCTCCTCCAAAGAAATAAATGTAATATTTAAAAAATAAAGCACGAAAATTTAAACACAGAGGAAGGGGGAAAGAACGAAGACTTTACCCATGCAACCAATGCCACCCCCCACCCCCCAACCCCGGGTCAATGATAAGGAATGAAATTCATCACAAACCGAAAGGCTCACCATTCGCGAAGCTCTGGAACAAGGAGAGAGCCAGTATCCACATGCCCCTGCCGCTCCCCGGCCTCCCGCGAGCGACGCGCCGGCCTCGCCCCCCGCGCTCCGCCCGGCCCGGCTCCGCTCGCCGCTCGGCACCTGCCCGGGGGCCGCCGCCCGCCCGCCGCCCGCCGCCCGCCGAGGACGCGCCGCCGGCGCCGCCGCCGCAGCTGCCGCTGCCTAGCCGCCCGGGCACGCGGCGCGGCCGGGCTCCGGGGCGAGGGCTGCGCTCACCGCGCGCTGCGCTCCTGCACACCTGCTCCCGGGCGCCGCGCCCCACGCTGCGGCCGGAGCCCAGGTGCGCCGTCAGCTCAGGGGCCCCCCGGCAGGTCGGCAGGTGGAGAGAGCCGCAGACGCGGGCGTGAGCTCATCCCGGGCACCCGGCGCCCAGAATGCGCAGCCAGCGGCCTCCCGTGCGCCAGCCCTCACCCTCCGCATCCAGGCAGCAGGCGGGCGGGCAGGCTCATCTTTGCCGTGCTCCGGCCTCAGTCACATGGATCCCTCTGCCAGCCTTCCCTGCCTGCGAGCCGGGCGAGTGAAGCAGAGCGCGGAGGCGAGCAGGGACCCCTCCCCTGCCTCTGGCCGCTGGGGCGCTCTGCAGTCTTAAAGCAGCAGCAGAGACGTGCAGCCGAACTGAGGCAGGACTGGGGAGAGCGCAGCCACCGCACAGTCACGCACAGTCATCAGGAGGAATTTCTTAGAGGCTTAAATAATCGTTTCAACAGCTGCTTATTTTTAGTTATTTTCCTGCCGGCTGCTAATAAGAGATGGCCAGGGTGACTATTGCGGAAGTGGGCAGCCGCGGAGAGGTGACCATGAAATGCTGGTAGTTTTAATAAAATGTGCAGCTGGATTCCGATTCCGTATTTACTCTCAGGAAAGTCCAGTTCATTTGCCTAGAGGGAAATGCTCCTTCCAAATCCTTGCTGCTGCTGTTAAGATCTCTATGATTTCACAGGCTAATTTTTAATTATCTTGAATACATTGTAGAATGCAAACACAGGCACTTCTAATTTTGCTCTCTGAATGGCGCATAAAAAAGCTGATTGAAATTGCTGATAATTTGAGTAGTCCCAAACATATAACCCCTTTCACATTTCTGTGAAAAGCCAATATGTTAACATTTCCTGAATGTTCTGTATGATTCTTGAAGTCATGATAGTATTCAAATTAAAGCTCTCCCGAGGGCGCACATCTATCCATCACTCAGCAGTATAATGACCGGCAGGGCTGGAATGCACCCAAGTGTAGGATCCAGGATGGAATGCTCAGAGGCAGGACAATAAGGACTAAGAAAAAGCATTCGATGGGGATAGAGGGAGACGTTTTCAAGGGAAACTGAGTAGGCTGTTTTCTACTGGGTATCTTCTAACTAGGCTCATGTGCCCCTCCACATACAGAAGAATGATGCACACCTCAGACAGCTCACGAAACAACACAGGAGAAGCAAATGGTGAGGCAGAAACAAAATGGTGCTTTACCAGGGTTGGGCACAAGATGGCCAGGCCCTGTGTACCAGGAAGGGTCAGCTGAGCCGGTGATGCTGCCACGGCTCTGCAGCTGCAGGTGATCACGTGCTGCCACCCACTCAGGCTGCGCAGGCCCAGCCCCCAGTTCCACGCACCAGAACCAGTGTCCTCTGGCTTTGCAAACGCCAGGTGCTCAGTCCCTAGGCCTTCCCAAATGCAGCCCAGGAAGGCAGGGGATGGGCCTGATTCTGTCCCTGCATCCGGCTGGTTGACCTATTCATGAATTCTTACCTGCCCACTAGCCACCTGCGAGGATGCCCAGGCACTGGGCTCAGGCAAACCCGGGGTCAAATTGCAGCTCCTCCACTACCCCGACTTGAAGCTTGTGCATGTGACCTGAGCCTCATTTTCCTCATATGCAGACTGGAAATCATCACAGTTCCTAACTCACAGGGCTGTGAAGACCTTTCCACCCACTGGCAGCACATGGTCGCTGTAGTCAGGGGTGGCTGTGGTTCACTGTTACTGAGTTTGGGAGCAGGGGTCCCATGATTTCTGGGGTCCACTGCAAAATGAAAATGGAGAGCTCCTTTCTCAAAATGAAAAAGAAGCACCATGACAAGTACTAAAACAGAACGCTTCCTTCCTTCTTTCAGTCTCTCTCCACCAGTCATGGTGTCTTCTTGACGGGTGTGAGAATGTAGCCCTTCCAGGTCACAGTGCAGTACAAGAGGCCTGCACTTGCCAGTGGCTTCCCTGCCCTCAGCTGCACCCACATGCTGAGACCAGCCAGTGGCCTGTCTCTCTCCCATAGGCCACTGTCCCAATGTACAGTGGACAGGAGATCCCTCAGGGATTGCAACCTCCATGCTGGGAAGCTCTCTGGATTGGAGGCGGGTAGGAGGCTCTGGTCACTTGAGGAATGTGCCCTGGCACTGCCAGCATGCTGAGGGATGGCCACTGCCAGGCCTCACTCTGACTCCCCACACAGTGTGTGTCCTGCACATATACCCAAATACCCACCAGAGATGGCAGGTGGTGCCAGGACATAGGCTTGCTGTTCCAAACTGATGCAGTTGCCACCCTATTGGACAGCAGCAACTATTACAGGGGCAGAGGCTGCTCAAGACCTGCGGGGTGCATGGGGTTGGGAAGTGGGCAGTCAAGAAGCTCTCCCAAAGGAGAGGTTGTAGGTGGCAGGATGGTACAGGACCCAAAGCTCCAAGCCCTTTTCATGTTCCATTGTCCCATGGATTTAGAAAGGGTAAGGCAGAGGTAATCTTAGTACACATTTCAAGAGGGCAACTACAGAGAATTTGACTTCAAGTGCAGGCGCTTCTTCTCCTGGGATCAAGTGTGACCCACGCAAGTGCAACTCTCTGCAGTTGTCTGTTGGTGCATCTGCCACAGGCTGAATGGGTTAATGACCTTGAATGGGCCTAACACATGCACCAGAGTCTTTTCAAATGTATTTACATAACAGACTTCGGTTAGAAAGATACTTATTTCTCACTAAACTATGA